TGCACTTCTACAGTAAGCACTAATTTATTGTTATCTTTACAATGACATAAACTATTCCAGCTCTTGCATTTTCTTTTATAGAAGCACTTTTCGTGCGTACTTTCGCACAAAGGAGAAGAAGAAACAGACTCCTGCATCTATACATCTGTTTTTCCTTGAGGAAAAGCAATTACTTACAATAAATAGCTTCAAAACTTTAATCAAAATACAGTTAGAAAAAGTTTATCTTTTTGCAAAATTCTTTTTTGAAAAACACGCTTCTTGTTTATAGTAACACTTATTTTTACCCATATGCTTTAAATCTGTGTATTTACTCAGGCAATATTTTTAACCTTTTTTTTTTTTCCTTTTCCCCCCAAGTCTTTATTTTTAATGAAAAGTTCCTTACAAAGCCATTTCTACATTAAGAAAATGGCAAATCCCAGGACCAGATCGTCCTCTGGGGAAAAGCAGCATTGCCGCAGCAGTCCGCAGGCGTTGCAGTTGTCCGCAATAAAAAGAGAAACCCAGTTTTCTCCATGGTTTCCAGGGCCCCACTCCTGCATACTTAGGCACTTACTTCACTTCACTACTGGAAATGAGATCACCCACGGCTCTCGCGTGTGCCTCTGCCGCGCAGATTGCTCCCGCTCCCAAATCCGGCTCTGGCCGACCCTGCCCGAGCCTCTTGTGCCCTTTGCCAGGTAGACCAGGCCTCAGCAGTCTGATTTTGAGCGAGTCTTTCATTCAGGTTTGCACGATGTTGTGACGATTCCCCAGGTGGAAAGCGCGTTTTAGGCCAAAGCACCGCATCCCCATCAGATTTCAGCCTCGATGGTGGGAGGACTCTGAGGCCTGATTTGCCCCAGTAATGAGGTCCAAATCATTACATGAAGCAGCGCCGCTGAACTCAGGGAAGATCTGGCCCACAGATCCTTTGCCAAATGCAGTCAGATCTGGGCGCGGAATTTCAATGTCCCTGGGGTTTGGGCTGCTTTTGATCTTTCTTACCCATGTGATGGAAGTACAAGAAGAACAGATTAGTGTTGGTCCGTCCTAGCGGTTAGAAGCCATGTTGCGGCTCCAGTACAAATTGCAGCAGCACGTCTGATCCATACTAATAGCTCACTGCAGCAGGGAATTCAAGGCACAAGTTTCCCCTTTGCTGCCATCAGTGGAGCCTCCGGTTCAGGCCGTCAAGAGAAATTTGTAATCATCAAGTGCTTGGGCGACCAAGTCCGCGCAGGACAAGCAGCAATCCCCCATTTGCCTGTTCCGCCCCCTCTCCTCCTTCATCCAGGCCATCCGAGGTGTCTGGGAGCACTTCACGTGTTGCCCTTGGCCGAGGACGGCTCTGCCTGGAGCACGTCCAACTTGGCCTGGAGACGTTGGAGTAGAGCTCCAAACCACGCTCGTTGCCAGTGAGGAGGGGGATGAGGAAGGTGAAGGCAAAGATGGCGCCAAGGTCAGCGTGGTCCGGCCTACAGCAAGGTCCTCTTGCAGAAGGACACGTGTCTCTCCCAATTTTACCCTCCAACGCCACCCTTAACAATGGTGATGATAATTTCATCAGTGCCGCTGATACTTGATATTTCTCATTTACATGGCATGTTTCATCTCCAAGGCTCTTGAAGTAATGAGCTAATCCTCACAACATCCCTGTAAATATTATTCCCCCCCTTAAAGAAACTGAAGCAAGGAAGTTAAGTAAATAATGTACGCTATTTATATTATGATGGCTTATAGGGGTTCTGGTGAAGGTCAGGTCCTCCTTGTATGTAGACATTATATAAATAAGAATCTATATAAGTAAATTACTCCTTGACCTGATGATTTCATACTTCAAATATACAAAACAAGCAAAGACTAGAGGGAAGGGAGCCCTATCAAAAACCCAAAATGATGGGGAGATTAAATGGTTGAATGGAGGTGGTGTCTGGAGATCTGGGCTGAAGTCAGCTCCGAATCCCTGCCTGCTGTGAGTGTGTGTCCTTTTGGAGATGAGGATTGCAAAACCTGGATTGTTAGAACTTACTTTTACGAGCAGGTGACATGCTTGCCTTTAAAATGTTAACAAGGCCTTGATTTTAATTAAAATATATTAGTATCAAGTGTATTTATTAGGGATGCAGAATTACCTGTGGGTGACACATTAAGGGTAACTCGCTCTTGGCTCTTAAACAGGTTTTGTAAAAGTTTTGGGCTCTTTTTGCACATTTTTTAAGAGAAATGGAATTAAGAGTCCATTAAAATGAAACTTAGGTTATTGTCTTCGTTTAGCTCACAGCGCTTGAAACTTCAAGTCCTGTTAGTGAGACAGAAAGGGGTTTCAGTGGGACGGGGGTGAGCAAACACATTTTTTTCCGGGACTGAGGAGAATTATTTCTTAGTTCTTATGAACTGACGCTTCAGTTTGGCGTTTACCGAGCTCTGCACACAAGTCCCATTGCTTTTAATTTAGAAGAAGTTACCTTTGTCGCAGAGTGGAGCCAGTGGCATGTAAGCACCGGCTTAGAGTTGGGCATGTGTTAATTGTTTAAATATGTTGAGGCCTTTCCCCACAGCAGTTGTGAATGTTTAATGCCGTATTTACCCTCGCCTTAGCACAAAGACTCGCACTGCAGGGTTGGTGCTCCACCATCGACTCGCTCTGGAGTACGCGTCGAGTGCTTCGCGTGGATTTTCTGCATTTTTAAATGGCTGTTGGGACTGGGCTTTAAGGTTTTTTTTAAGAGAAAGCACTTTTCAAGAGTAAAATGTCATTTAGCATTTCGTAAAGGCCTAAAGCGCAGAGTAACCGCGAAACTGAGAGAAACCCTGAACATCTGCCGTGGCTTCTGTGCAGTGGCAGCAGCGCAGGACACCACTACCCGGTGTCTCGGTGAAACGCAACTTATGGTGTGCTAAGAGCTCCAATACCGTATTGAGTGGCTACCCCTCCAAAGGAGTACGTGTGGAAACAATGGCGCGTTTGGTACTTCAGGAGTTAACGAAAGTCAGGGCAGATCCACTGAGCGAAAGGCCGGGGGGAGGTGTCACTTTTCTGTAAGAATTCATTAAAAAAACATAATTAGTTTATTTCAATATAGTTATCTCTTCATTATTTAAAGGAAAAGGTTACACGCCATGGATTAAGGAAGGGGGGGAAGATTTTTCTTTACCACTTGGCCGCATTTCACTCTAAAATGAATGCTTGCTCAAGAGTCTGAGGAGGCTTCATGGGAAGAGCAAAGCAATCCAAGCCATATGCATTGGGCTCCGTGCCAGTTGTTTGCCAATATGCCCAGGCCACCTGGCTCCATCCGCAGCCAAGTATGCCATCCCGGCTCGCCAGCTTTAACCTTCAGGCTGCTTCTTTTTCAGCTCTCTGCAAACTCCGCAGCCCTGCGAAGCCGTTCCCGGCAGTTTTGCCTCGCAGCCGGACGCGGGCCCGTGCGCGCGGCGCTGACCGAGGCAGCGCGCGGCCTCCGTTTCCAATGAGTCGGGCCTTTGTCTCCGGTCGAGTTGAACCCGGGCCATGAGATGAGTCTGGAGATAGCAGACTGAAACCTTTCCCCATATGCCATCGTTAGACACTCTGACTGACAAGCCACCGGCTTTTTTGTTTGCTGGGTGTGGTTTGGGAAGGGTTTTGTTTAATGCCGTGCACCGCTATAGTTTCTTTTTCCCCAGTATTTGCATGAGGCGTAAGAGAAGCGGAGCGTTTAGCATAATTCCGGCATTAATGGTGTTTTGTTTCATTATTGGGGTAATTCATTTGAATGTTTATTCATTAAGTTTCATTTGCGGCCAAAAATATCTCGGCGTTCTATTAATCTTTAGTTACATTTTGGGTCGTGGGCAAAGCCTAAAACGAGTACAGTATCCATGGCAGCAATGTAACATTTCATAGATATCAGATATAATTAAGCTATTCTAAATATTGAAATTAAGGTAGGATGAAAAAAAAAAAGATTATATTCAACTCAGTAAACACAGCATGGGAAGTTTTGGTGTAGAAGCCAGCAAAATCTGTAACTGCATCCAAAGTGCAGGGCGTGCAGTCTGCCGTAATTGTCTTCTTTTTTAACAGGAACCAGTTTGGGGACGGTGTAAACGTGGGGACTCTCCTTTGCTTGATGGCTTTTAATGAATCCGGCGGTGATAGCTGCATTTTTGGGGCCGGGGAAGGCAGCCGTGCTTTCGGGAGACATGTGTTGTGCGTCTGCTTTGCCTCACAGAGGTAATGCAGATTTTTCGGCGGGTGCTCTCACAAAAAGTTCCTGCGCTCTGATCTCCAAAGTGGAGCCCGCGGTTCAGATCGCAAAGCTGCGGGGTTAGGACTCGCTCAAAATGGCCACAGTTTCCTCCCTCCCTGCGCGCACCGGAGCCATAAATCTGACACAGCTTCATTTCCAAAGCTCCCTGAACCTGAGGGCCTGATATTTGAGACTCGACTTCTCCGTTTGCAGGTGGGATTATTTGTGGAAGTAAGCGAGAGCGCGCAGGCATCTCGCTGCCCGCCCCATCCCCCTGCTCAGGTGGCAGCAGGACGCTTCTTTGCAGCCCGCAAAGCCGGCGATGGAAAAACTGAGCCCCCCCTTGCCCCGCCCCCTTGATTTTTTAGGCACCAAAATTGAAGAATAAACAAAGGAAGGGAGGTTCAGGCTTTGGAAATTAAAAAAAAATTGGGCCCCCGGGGAAACTTGCCAAGTTTCTTCCGAAGCGAGCAACTTTTTACGAGGGGAGTTTTGGCGCGCTCAGCTCGCCGCGCATTGTTCCCGTCGCCCCCAAACCCCCTCGCGCCGCCACCTGCGCCCGCTCCGCTCCCCGACAAAGGCGACCCCGGATCAAATGCGGAGCTCACCGGCGCTGCAATTCAATCCAGCAGGGCTTGCTGTTGAGTTGCACTGAGGTATTCTTTGTCCCGACGGGGCGCGCAGCCTTTGGGGAGCCGGCCGTATTGAATTGCTTTAAATCAGAGCCTGTAGCGGCGTGCTCAAGGTACACTTTTTGGGGAGGCCCGTCTTGGGTTCAGAAGCATGTCGCGGAGCTGCGACTTATTAGCGGCGGCACCGGTGCCACGTTCAATCAAGACCTGGGGAAAGGCGCTGTTGCAAATGCACGGAGACAGCCATAAAGGGAGTGGGGAAGGGTCCCGGTGGGTTTTGGCAGTCTGGCAGGTGAGACGCAGCTGCAGTCGCCCCATCTGTGCTACTTTGGCCCGCTCCGGCTGTCAGCGGAGGTAACGCGGGCTATGATGGGAGAAGCAGAGCAGAAATTGAGCGAGAGAATAAAAATTAAGGTTAAAAGGGAGAATAATGGTCTACGGGCATTTGGGGGATACTAACAGGTCACAAATTCTCACTTGAAGTGTTCACTGGGTCCCATTTTGTGTATTGCACTAATGTGTGACTGGACAAATACACCCGCTACCGCTTGTGCCGCTTGTTTACTCAGCCTTGTATCAATGTGGGGCCGTTTCCATCTCATATTTAATCTAAGTGATGGGCTTCAGGCTCACCATTAATAGTATCTTGCCCATCGTACGCTCCACTATTGCAACCCTGTTTATTGTTTTTCGGCGTGGGTGCATGCTGCCTCCTTTCTACGTTGTTACGCTTGCATTCTCCTTTTATTTATTTGGACCCATTTTGGCTTTCCGATAAAAAGACGAGGCATAAATAGCAGCTCTGTCATCCAAGAACTTCCAAGCACTTAAAATTCTGAAGGGTTGCTCCCAAAAAGTTGTTTAAATGAGATCGCTCTACCGCCATGTAGTATTTATAATATTAAGTATCTGCAGTTCAACGCGATTGTTCCTCGCCAAAGCTTTTCTGTGCAAAACCCAAGCAGAACGAGGACTGTGTGTACTTCGTGGCCTCCAAGGACCTGATTTTTTTCTTCTCTTCCACCATTTCTCACCGTCTTCCTCTTCCAACAAACCTTCTTCCCATCCCAATTTGTTGCAAATATGCAACAACACTAAGGGCTTAGTTCCCCTCTGCTTGTAAACACAACGCCCTGTTAGCGCTCAGGCTGCTCGCGCCTTTCAGGGGGAAAACGGCCTCTGAAACGCTTGGGAGAAAGAGCAAAGCTGTCACTTGTGTGGCTTGGGTTGAAAGATTGAACCCACTCCGCTTATTTGCACCTCTTTGTCAAAAAAAAGTAGAGAAAAGTTCTGGTCACGGGCGCAGATGAAGCAAATGAATGTGGACTTCTGGGGTCCGATAACGAATGGGGACATTCAGACGCCGTTGCCAACTCTGCGTGATTGACTGCTGAGTCCGGAGAGACAGCCCTGTCCTGCCGAAACCAATGGGGTTTTGCCGTTGGCTTTTCACAGAATCACAGAATCCCAGACCGTTAGGGATTGGAAGGGACCTCAAAAGCTCATCCAGTCCAATCCCCCTGCCGGAGCAGGAACACCCAGATGAGGCTGCACAGGAAGGCGTCCAGGCGGGGTTTGAATGTCTGCAGAGAAGGAGACTCCACAACCTCTCTGGGCAGCCTGGGCCAGTGCTCTGTCACCCTCACTGAGAAGAAGTTTCTTCTCAAATTGAAGTGGAACCTCCTGTGTTCCAGTTTGTGTCCGTTACCCCTTGTCCTGTCATTGTTTGTCACCGAGAAGAGCCTGGCTCCATCCTCGTGACACTCACCCTTTAAATATTTCCTGGGCCAAAGGGTTCGTTTCCAATAATCCACCACCTGATTTTAGTCATTTAGTAACCAATTCGCTGCTGATTTACAGGAGAAACTTCCCCTGCTGAAGAATATGCTCTTTTTAATTACTATTTTTTATTTTTTTCCATTGGGCTCACATTTAGTAATAGTTCTTTCACAAAATATACCCATTTTCCTTTAGGTTTTTCATCTTACTTTGTTCCGTTGGTGCTTTTATTGTTGTTGTTTTTGTATTTTACCACATACCATCGCATGGGAAACAGTCCCTGCAGGCACGGCTGGTGGATGTAAGTGGAGGACCGGTGTTGTTCTGCTGAATTTCCTCACGCCTCCGCACACCCACAAAGCCTGGTGACTTGCACTGACTTGGATCACCTCGTCCACACCTGGTGACACCCCTGTGGCTCCAAATTTCAGCCTCTTCCCCCGGTGTACGGGGGGAGCGGTGACGTTGCCCTTGCCGGCTGCAGGAAGCTAACAGAGCTAACAGTCAGGACAGGGGAACAGAAGGACCGGTTAAAGGGAGTTGTCGTGATAAACAGGTGTGATAGTCAGGTTGCTCCTTCGGGGAATTTCAGGGAAGGAGGCTGGGTAGCCGCACCCCAAGCAGATGGTAGGGGCTGTCTTTGCGAAAGGCACAGCCTGAAACCAGTTTTTGACTTGGTTTGACTGAGGCAAACCTGGATTGACTTCACGAAGAAAAGCACAAGCTCTGTAATGTGTTAGAATTTTACATTTAATTTTATTACAAAGCAAATCGCCTTTGAATGAATGCAGACGACTGCAGGGTGTTAGAGCCCTAACTTTCAGACTTTTTTGTTCAGACTTTGGGTGCTGAGGTCCTCCACCTCCCACAGCCCCAGGGCTTGGCTCCCTGCTGGGTCTCCAGGTCAGCAGAATGGGACCGCTCACCCAGATCTGTACACAGCTTTGAGTTTTGATACTTAAAATTTGGGATTCCCATGCAAATATCAACCTATGGATGCTCTGGCTGTGAAAAACTCCTAAAGCCAGTTACTTAAACAGTACTTCAAAAAAAGAGGAATGAGAACAGTTCTCAAATAAAGTACAAATTAAGGCAAAACATGAAATTAATAAGAATCGAAGGCAAAAATATGTCCTGTGTTAGAATAAGAAGTCACATCGTGCACATCCACAATTTATTAATTTCCAGTTACATTTCTGGAGGCAGCGTTTCTGTTCATAGCTCTCAGTTTCTTCAGTATAGGAAAATGTTGATTTCCACTCAAATTCTGTCAGCGTTGATATCACAGCTCTATCACAGTTATTTATAACCCACACACCAACCTGAATATCATTAACTCTATATAATTTGTGACGCTTGCCAAATACCGAGCAGTTATTTGCGACCCAAAGTATTTGTGTAATTAAAAAAATGTCAGTGAGTGCATTAGAAACATTTCATACAGCTGGCTAAATAGTTCGGAATGTATTGGTGAATAATCTATTAATTCACTGATGTATTACATGGCGAATAAAGTATTTTAATAAGTTAAATTGCCTTTGACCCGTTAGAGTGGACTCTGGCTCTGCAAAGTGTTGAGTGGAAGGGGGCACGACAGAGGAGGCTTTATCGGGTTGTTCAGTATTGGGGTTTCTGAGTACGGCAGCAAGGTGTGTGCTCAGGAGAATGAAGAATACATTTCTCAGGACACTGTTTTCCCCAGGTCTTTCAAACGCTGTAACCAGAACCTTTCTTCGGCATAAAAGTACTTTTGTGCTTTCACCTTGACAAAATCAATATGGTGCCATTACCTCAAAGTTCGCTTTTCCAGCCTGTAATTACTAAGGTCAATATTATGCAGTCATTATGAAATAAGGAAAAAAAAAAAAAGGTTCCCGCCCTGTATCTCATCACATTTCAGTAAGTTCATGCTAAAACTTGGCCGTATTAATGAGAAGTTTGTGCAGCAGCCCTGGCTAAGCCATGCAGCTAGAAGACTGGGTAAGTGTTTTCCCATATGGCGAGCCCTGTCTGCAGCACGTATAGCGCTTTTGTCTGCTGCAGTGCTCTCCTTTCCCCAGGTTTTATTTGCCTGCTTCAATATCAAGAGAAATCTAGTGACAGGGGAAATCTATGCCTTGGGAACTGAGTTTTTCTTGATGTTTTAGGTCAGTATCAATTCTGTGAGATGCGCAAGTGATTTTGTGGCTTTCCGTTGTGCTTTCGTACTGTAGTAAATTTAGAGACGTAATGAAATGCGTTTCTGTATTCTCAGTATTTTTAATAAAACCCGGTAATTGGCATGCTATAAAGCCATAAACTGGGGTAATTTTTCCTGCGGGGAATGTCCATTTGCGGGATCGCAGCAGTGATAAGCAGGCAGCGCTGTCTGTTGTGCTCCTTATCGGCGGCACCAGGGTTGTCTGTCACTCACATGTGCGAGCTCCGGCCCCGGTTCCCGTTCGCGGTTGTGGTGGATCAGCGCAGGAGTGATGATAACGCCTCTTCAAGGTGGCTTTGCGGTGACAGTTGGACGTGGCAAACTTCTGCTTGGCAACCACACAGTGACTGTTGGCCAACATTGGCTGAGAGGCGCTGGTGATACCACGCCGTGTGTCCTCAAAGAGGAGACTTCTTGGGACCCGATCCCGCTCTGTTTTCTCTCATGCGCCCCTCAGCCCAAGATGAAAATACACATAAATACACCCACGCTCCTTTTTATGGCTACATTCACCCTCCTTTATACACGGGTGTGCTTTCCTGATGCAAGCTTTTGACTTTCTTTCCTTCTAGGACATGTGCTGGGGATTGCAGAGTTTGAGAGCACTCCTCTTGTGTGCTAAAAAGGGGGTTTAGCGTAACATCATCTTGGTCGCAGGGAGTTGCTTGCTATTTGTGAGTGCAGGGTGGAAATCTCCCTCTGGTGGGGTTTTTGGGTGAACCGAGTGCGGGTGATCTCTGGCCCACACTGAAACTCTGCAGCTGGAGGCCTCAAGCATTCAGGTTCTTGTGTCCAAACACGCTGTTGTATCTTCCTTTACCACTAGAGCACAAAATCAAACAGGCCACGTGTGCTGCTGCTTCATCTCTGCTGCTAACTATTAAATAATGCATTTAGGATTATTTAAAATAGTTGTTTTGTTACCAATGTGAAAAAAGACGCTCTCTGAATGCCTCTGCATCAGGAAAATAACTGCGGGTGTTAACAAGCCCACTTTAAATATGCAGCTTTTATGTACGAATGTAAGTGAACCTCTTAACAGGAATCCCATTTTAGTAGCTGTCGTAATGTTTTGATGATCCCTTCTGATGCTGTGTATGAAGAATCTCATTCCTGAAGTAACACCGTGGTGTTATAAGGTTATTCTTCTTTTACAACCTCATTTTGTGCTACAGCTGGAAGCACACAGGCTATGTTTTAAGCTACAATGGCACCCATAACTTACGTCCTCCGAAAAAATGGGGGGTGTGCAGATTTGCAGATGTAGTTTGCTAATTATTGGGGTGTCTTTGGAATTTCTGCACAATTTCCCTCTCTTGATCGAAGCTTTTGGGCTCCCTTTTGGCAGACGGAGCGCTTGGTGCATGCACGTTCCTGCTCTTTGGGTTACTCTGTGGGTGGAAACGGAGCCGCATCTCGCTTGGTTCAGAACAACATCGCTTCAGAGAAACCTCGTCTGGGTTTGTTTTGGAAGGAGCCCACATGGATCTTGGCTGGAGGTGAAGCTGTTAGGGCCAGGGTCATGACGAGCTGGACGATAGGCGACGGGACCGCACGAAAACCTGTGTCGCCAGCCAGAAACACTGTGGGCCCAAAGCTGAGCAGATTAATCTGGGGAACTTGCCGCCTCTCCTTTCGGGTCAGCCCCTGGCACCTCGGGATGGTGCAGCTCACCACGTGCCCCCTGCCTGCAGGAATGAGCGGGGACTGTTCCCTTTTCCAGAAATATGTTGTAAATTGTTGGGTCAAAATAGAACATGTAAGTAAAGCTTAGAGGTAATCGCTTCTTAAGCGTTGACCCTGGGCCTTAGATTTATAAGCTTATTCCTGCTGTCCCACCATAAAACTAAAATCCCCACCCCACCATGCCGTATTGACATAATAGTTTGGTGTAGCTTTCTACATACACACACTCATGTTTTCAAGTCCTGATATGGCCTGGCTCTGCCTCCTCTTCCTCTGGGGATGAAGCCGGGGGTGCCTTGGGGCTGCTGCTGGGAGCTGGCACCTCCATTGCTGTCCTTTGAGGACCTGGAGCCTCTGGAGTGAGGAGGGAATAAACAGCTGCAAAGTGAGTTTTGCAATCAGAAATGTAAAATATGTCATGTAGAAAAAAAGAAAGTTATTAAAAACTTCAGATAAGATCAAAACATTCCAGACATTATGGGCTGTGTTCCTGCAGAGCTGGGGGAAAAAAGGCTGAAGCTTTACAAAGGGGAGCAGCAGAAGAGTTCGTGTCTGTCAAATACTTTGGCCCTTGCAGCCCATTAAGGTACCAAATTCAAAAGAACAGATTACCCCGATAGTGTAGCACAGTCGCGTTTTAAAGGCAGAAAACGTTTCTGATTGTTTTTACCACAAACTCATCAGGTTTTTGCCAGAGATCTTCAGAGGTTTCTGGGTGCTTTGCTAACATTGTGACTTTCAGTGTAGAATATGCACTAGGATTTACACCCGAGCCGTACGCTTTGTAATTGGAAAATGGTGTTCCTGTGGCTGGGACTCAGCTGCAAAGTCCATGGGATTCAGAACCAAGCTCGCATTTTGAACCGGGGCCATGCAATCTCCAAATTAAACATGAAAATACCAGCTAAGATATGAAAGATAATGAGTGAAACAGATGATCTGCAGCAAACATGAGATATTTCCTTCTCAATTATGAATGATCAAAATCACACCTATCGTTATTATTTTCCCAGTCTCCATGTAAGGTCAAAAGTGCCTTCAGCTGCGGGGATGCAAATCTGGAATTCTTTCAGCAAAGTTACCGAATCACACGGCTGACTGATTTTGGTGACAAAGTAAAAGAGATGAAAAATAGATGGCCGTTATTACACCTCCTTTCCATCCTGTGATGATTTTAAGGTTTATTTAATCCTTACTATATTTCGTATTGGCCGCAGAGAGTTTTTGAAAATAATCTCTATAAGCCTGCTGTTGCAGTACGCGATCGAGTCTTTTCAAGGCCAAGGTTGGGACTTGCCGGTTGCAAAAAGCGCCTCTCTTAATTGCCCAAGTATGAAAGTCCGATGTCCTCATGCACCACCTGAAAAGATAGCCATATTTCTTTTTTTTGACTGAGCTGTAGCCTCCGTATCTCCCTGTCAAGAAGCTGCTTTTGGGAGCAAGACAGGTCACGTTGGGAGGCAGCGGCTAATCAGCTCCCCCTGCACATCGCCTGCTCTCAGCTTGAATTATCTCGGGCAGACATCCTGGCTGGTGCAACACAACCCTGCCATGCTCCAGCCCGAGAAGACCCGTGATTGGCAGCCGCCAAGTTAGCGAGGAGGAGAGGAAAAGAAACCCTATCTCTTCTGGTGCTTTTCCCGGCTTGGTTTCCTCTCCAGGAATCAATAGGGTGGTCGATAGTTGGTTTAGAGTTGTCCGCTCCATGCTGGAGTTTGCTGGTGTAAACCTCGGCTGTCTG